ATGAAGTCTCCTCAAAACACAGATGGACCTCGATGCTGATGGCGGTCTCAACGTATCGACCAGAAAAATAAGCAACCAGATTGAAGCAAACAGTGAACTAGACTTTAAAACATTTCACACTAATCTAGCCTATAAATACATACTTTAAAATGAAGGGCCTTCGTAGCTTCTGTTATTAACTTAGAAACATTTCAGAAAAAAGTCAAATTCAGAACTTCTAATCATTTCAAAACAGACACTGATTTACTTGCTGAGAAGAAAATCATTTAACATCACTTATAAAACAAACAGTACAACGATTCTCTATAATAATAAACAAATACATAAATAAATTAACAAATAAATAAATACAAATAATACCTGTATTGGTCAAATTTAGCAAATTTCATCCACTCCTGAGGTTTGCTTTCATATGCCTCCATAATATTCTGCACCTCTTCAATGTTGATGTTGTCACTTTCAAAGATTTTGTGCAGAATTTTAATAAGATCATCCAGTGTCTCTGGTTTCACTACTTCGGTCTGCTCCATTTTCAGCACCTTTCTCTGCAGATCTGAGCCTCGCTGAATGAGCTGAGCTCACGTTTTATAGATTTTGGCGAAACTTTAATGGGCGGTACCACTTCGCTAGGAGGGGTACGCGCGCTATAGCATCGGTTTTAAAACCTACACATTACGGATATATGCTGCTTTAACGTGTGAATTTAATGCCTACAACAAACTACTTACACATTAGCCTATAACAGAGAGATAAAGTGTGCTAGAGACAAGTGAAGCATGTCTGAGTTCATTTTGAAGCCACCTCAGCACCCCTGTCTCTGACACTTGGATCAGTCCTGCCACACACTCTCCTTTTCGAACTGGGCTGCTGTTCAACTATGGACCAGAGAAAGAAAGGTCTGCCTTAGACCTCATCTGTTAAGAAAAACTTTAGCCCCAAGCGTTAAACTGTGCAGACCGTAAACGCTTCATGTAAATGTCCCTGCACAATCATTTAAAGCAGTCTGCCTCTGAGAGGACCGACTCTGAATGAACAGTCTGCAGAACACAGAGAAAAGATCCGGCTAAAGTGGTGAAGACTAACCAAGGAGGCTGAGTTCACTCGCTCGAGAGAAGTAAAAGCGACTGCAAACCCCCTTGCCCCTGCGTGAAAATAGTTTGTTATTTGCAGTTTGTAAAAGGTGTAACTTCATGTTAGTGATGGACTGTCTGTGTAGATGCCAGTCAGTTCAGAACAGCATCACTCACAGCACAGAAAACAGAGCTTCTGGGCGGGTTTTGGTCACTGGTTGGGTTAGGACAAAATGTCCACGTGTAGGCTAGTCTTTTTGTTCTTATTTGAGGGAACACCACACACACACACACACACACACACAGACGGATATACAATTAACTTTAGAAGCTGCTTATCGAGGAATACGAACGGTCAAGAGAAAAAAGAACTTTTTAATTATTTTTTATTCTATTGAGTATTTCTGAATATGAACACATTGCAACTCCGTTAGAGCAGGGTTAGTGTAGACTTTCCCCCCACGTACATTTTGGCTGTGTCAGAGCCGGTTCTCTGACTATGTGCTCAAAGGCTCAATTTAAAACGCTGCTCTGGCGCCATCGCGTGGACAAACATAGAAAGTGTAGTGGACGCTGCGCCCATTTCTCACACGATTTCACATCACTTAATTGAAATAAAAGACTTTCATGTAACATTATTAAGTTTCCAAATGCATACCCCCAGTTTATATAATCCATACATTAGAGGACGCAAAAATGTCCCATTCTGACTGAATTGTTTTTGTTATGTCACACAAGCCCAGCACATTTACATTTATATGCCCATTAATGGTGAAGCTATAAGGAATGTTTCAACCTAGACTACACATGTGATAACCGAACCTCTGATGGGAAAAATACAAGAAAAAAGAGAAACACGAAGGATTTGGGCCCTTTAATTTAACTCATGAAAATATATGTCAGGAGAGCTTGCACAAATGTATGAATGAAAGAATGAATGAACGAATAAATCAGTGAATGAATAATTTAAACAAAAGTTTTCTCGCAGAAAGAAAAGTTTTGTAAGAATCCAATCTGTCAAATTCTGAAAGCAGCTTGTTTTAAATGGGTAACTTCCTGCAGTGAAATGGCCGATTCCGGACTGCAATGTTACATCGTTTGTTCAGTTTTAACTTCATGCTTGAATCCTGTACTTCAGGGGTGCTCAAACATTTTACCTTGGGAGAGAAAGACCCCGTTTCAAATCTTTTTTTAACTTTCCCCTCACCCATTTCAACTACTCGGATGTGCGTCACACGGACGTTACACAAGTGTCCACTCGCGGCAGAAGTGCGGGAGGGGCAGTGAGGAGCGGGTTATTCAAACGAGACTCACTCAGAGGACTTGACTCGCTCGCCCTCGGTGGGTTAGCCTCAGTGAGCTAGCCAGGAAAACTACGCAATATAAAATGTCTTTTAAAGATGTTTGAGCATAACGTACATAACATGCAGGTAATTGTTTTGTCCGGTTATAAACTTGGTGTAGTGGGTTTATTTTTGTTCTTGATGTGTAGCTTATGAACAGATTTGTCCGCCATATTTTCGAGTTTGTAAAGAGAAATGTCAGCTCACAATGATTTCTGGACGAGTTATACTGCTGAAATTGACGCTTGTGTCCACTCGACCCCGACCCCTCCGAGGGCTCATCTAACACCCTTCACTTCACCTAGTATATATATATATATATATATATATATATATATATATATATATATATATATATATATATATATATATATATATATGTGTGTGTGTGTGTGTGTGTGTGTGTGTGTGTAAGCAATGTAAACAAAAAAAAAAATACGCTACATACCTTCACGTATGTGTAATTGATTGCACATGGGGCATCCCGGCTTGTTCGAAGGTCCGTATACTGAGGAGCACATTGCATGTTGTTTCGTTCAGATTACTTTGTCCTAGAGAGAGTTAATACAGAATATTCGGGGCCTCTTTCGAATGAATCTCACTGTATATATATATATATATATATATATATATATATATGTATATATATATATATATATACACACACACACACACACACACACATACATTTACAGCATTTAGCAGATGCTCTTATCCAGAGCGACTTAGCTTTGTCTATCTAGAGAAAGTATCTTTGCTAGTTACCAATAGGTTAGAGAGAAAGCCAGTCCTGGGCTCAGATACAGCTAGAAACAAAACGTCCATGCTGATACATAGAGAAAAAGGAACAGAGTTAAACACAGCACAGTGCAATACAATTCATTTCAATAAGTGCAGTACATTACAATTAGTTACTTAACTCAGTGCTCATTTAAGTGCTGTATTCAATATATATCACATACATATTATGGCAAGCCAAACAGGAAATATTTAATGAACATTAATATTAATATTAATTTGGAATGAACTTTGATATATATACAATGAACTTTGATATAAATGGAATGTTTACTGGGCTATTTTGTGCCCAGCTCAGGTTTACTTAGAGTGTGTTTGTGTTTGGTAACCATCAGAAGAAAGAGCAGGGCTTAGAGGGACCTACCTCAAGTTCCAGTTGCTTTTCAAGTAGGATTGTTTTCCCTTGCTCTCAGTAAAGAGCATTTTCAAACAGAAATTATGGCCTCATTAGAATCTTCCACTGCACCATGTCAAATTAAGTATATATTGAAGATCCACCCATCTGTAGCTTCACATCATATATCAGCCACTCTCAGATCACTCTATCCAAGGGATCACTGTGTATACATACTTGTTACTTTATCAGAATCCCCTTCCTTTAAGCTCCACCTGGAGTTGGTTAATGCCCACTTATTGATGTCCAGGTTTTTCATCCGACCTCCAGCCCTTTAGTTCTTTCATTATCATATATCAATGTTCATTCTATATACATCAATGTTCATGAAACATTTCCTGTTTGACTTGACATATATATATATATATATATATATATATATATATATATATATATATAAAATATATAAATAATTAAATATTTCTATCACCTGCTGTGCAGTTCAGTCTGTAGACAGAATCTCCCTGCTCTCTATGTAGTGCACTATGCAGGTCATGATATAAGAACTTCCAAATAATGGACGTTCTAAATCAGGGGTGTCCAGTCTTATCTAGAGAGGTTCCGATGTGGCTGCAGGTCTTCAGGAGGTCACCTGATGAAATGTTTGAAGACTAAGACCAACTTATTAAACAAGTAGAATCAGGTGTGCTTCAGCTTGTTTGGAGTGAAAACTTGAAGGCACATCAGCCCTTTGCAGGGAAGACTGGACACCCCTGTTCTAAATAGTGCATTATATGTCTATTAGAGAGCTATTTGGGATACAGCCCACTTTAACATTTAGTGCACTAATTGGGTTTGGAAGCCATAGTTTCATGACTTGTATAGTGCGCTTCATAGGGATTAGGGAGTCATTTAAGATTCAGACTTGGCATCAACTGGTAAATCTGTTCAGCTATTTCAAGCTGCTGACAGAGCTTGTTTTTCTGCTTTTTGAAAGATACTTTATTAATAAAAGTAATATACTTCATTAATTTCTAAATAAAAGTAATATGCTTTATGTTTTATTTAGACGTTTTTTTCTCTTTTTTTGATCGATACTTTTATTTAGTTTTTATTCGTGCATTTTTTTTTTTACTTTCCACAGGACTTCGCCAGTCCGTTCACTGTAAACACCAGACTGCTCTGTGTGGATGTGCATGACTCTGTTATTCACCGGAGAAACATATGTCTCATATTTTTTTACTTTATTGACGCTAAAGACAAACCAAGCAGTGTGTCTTAAAACAAAAAGAACACCCCTTCATAATCCTCCGTGAATTGACAGAATTGTGGATAATTCTTCATATCTGGTCGTGAGTTAACAGCGTCTTTTATTTTTGAAAACTACAGTTTCCTGCGGAAGAATCTTGGAGAGTTGGCCGCGGTCGCCAACTTCACTAAATTTTCGCATGTATCCTTCCGCCTTGCTCACTGACTGCCACTGAGTGGCTCTAGTTTCTCTCAGGTACACTGGAACAGACAGGTGATAGGAACACATCAGCACCTTTCGTCGGCAGTTTAACATAGTTATTGATATAATAATAACATGATAAAAGCCATACTCATATTCAACAACCATGGAAAACCCAGGCTCTCGAAATTTTACGAACACTACGTGAGTATGAGTTACATTAAGGCTAGCCAGCTAGCTAGCAAACTCCTGTGTTGTACGTCAGTCACAGTCATGTGCAGCTGCTGTAGCTCAGTAGCTCACAGTTTCAGCCATGTCGTTTGTGATGCTCAGACACTTGGTTAATATTAAATGTGATTACTAATAAGACAGATATTTTGTGACAAGGCTGAGGTTGGCTTCCTTTTCGCCTTTTCACCAGCTTCTTTTTTGGATTTTTCCCGTTCCACCTTAAATGGTGCAGCAGACTCCAGAATGTAACTGCTGCACCGTTTAAGGTGGAACAGGAGAACCCGAATACGAAGCTGACTTCAGCTTAGTTATTTTGTATGTGTTAACTTACATATAGTCGAGTCTCAGTGCAGCAGCTAATAAATGTGACTATCAAATTTAAAGTGCGTGTTTCAGTGTTATCTGCCATTTAATGATAACTACTGCCTGAAGCTTTATATATGGATTGATTTTGTGGAGATCTTACTGATATATCCTGATATGTGGTGACCACAAACTGATAATGAAGTGATTTCTCAGTCTGCTAGCTAGGAGCCTAGCCCGCAGCATTTGTTTAACTAATGTTAATATAATCAGTACTTCGACTAACTTTTGTTAAAACGTGGCTCTGTTTGCTTTAGCTTTGCAAACATGGCCAAGTGAGTCATTATTCCCAGTTTTACAGCTACAAACCTGTCTGTAAGTGTGTTTTGAGTAAAAGAGTTGAAACTAGATGGTCAGTGAAGTTAGGGAGTGTTAGTTTCACCTGGATTTTTTTGCGTTTGCATTGTAAATCGCGCTATGAAGTATTAAGACAGACTATCGTTTTACGAGCTTGTGTTTCTGAGCTCGTTGTCTGCATCTCTAAGTGTGGATATAGGATTACATATCGGTTTACTTCGGTTTACAACGTGACTTCGCCTTGTGATTGACTCGTGCTTGCTTTCAGTGACCACTCTCAGGCATCATCAGCAGTGTATGACTCCATTCACTGCTTTCCGGGCTTATAACACGACATTAAAACAAGTCATACGTAGTTAAGTGAAGTGAATAAAAGCTACACAAATTAACAGACATTCCTTAACCTTAATATGACTATATATTTCTGCATTTCACTGCAATAAAACATGTCTGAGCGTTTTGTTATTTACATTTGGCAAAAATAGGGATTCTGCCTCATTTTATTCTTTACTCAGCTGCATAGTTATCACTTCATGCAAACATTTAAATCCCTCTCCCTTTATCAGTTAATTTAAATTCACATAAATGATCGTTTTAGGCATGACTGATTCTCACCCCTTTGACTGATCTTCTGTTGGGTCTGTAATGTTTCATTTTTATCCTCATACTGATGCTGCTTATTACATAGCAAATGTGATTGAGAAGAAATTGAATCAAGCTTTGGCTGGTTTCCTGATGGCCAGTTTTCTCATTCGGGCACTGGAGCAGCTGTACATGAGCTTAATGCCGAGCGTCGGGCCATGGAGCGGTGGGACGTGCATACTTTGTTGTTGGAGTGGTGTTTGTGATCCAGGAGCTGTTCATCTAACATCAGTACCTGGCCTCACTAAAGCTCTTGTGACTGACTGCAGTCAATCCTCAGTGTTCCAAAGAGGGGTTGACGATATGGCAGAAATATTATATCACAATACTTCAAGACATTTTCACAATAGATTATAAGCATCATGATATTTAGTTTTCCTGAGACTTAATACTAATATGACAAATAGAACCTGTAGTGTCACATGTCAAAAGTACTACTAATGATAAACCTACGACTATAATAATTAAATAAATATTTCACAAACTTCTCTGCACCAAATCCAATTAAATAGAACTTAATTATGTTGTAATATTATAATATATGAAACAGTAATATGTCGGTGTTATTTAACCCCTTAACAGTCCAGCCCTTTTTCCATTTTCCGCCTGAAATTACACACCCAAATTTTGAAGCCTTTTACTCAAGCAGTACATAAACTAGAGGGAAAGTCATGCTGTAATGTTACTGAAAAGCCTTCAAAATTGTAATTAAAACCATTTAAAGATATTGTGTCACATGTAAAAATTACTACTACTAATAAACCTACAACTATAATAATTTCTATTCAGTTTCACAAACTTTTCTGCACCAAATCCAATTAAACAGGACTGATTATGTTCACTTTGTAAAGTAACAGTAATGTGTCAGTGTTCTTTATGTACTGATGTTGTCCATGATATGCTCAGAAAAGCGTATTATGACATCATTTAACATGATGACGATAAAATGTTGTACATTGCCCATCCCTAGATCCAGCATCTAGTGTAAAGCCTTACCAGAAGAGTAGAGGCTCTTAGTGCAGCAAAGGGGGGACAAACTCCCTATTAATACCCTTGATTTCAGAAAAATATATAACCAGATGGCTGTATACTTTCAGACACAAAATGTATTTTAAGATTTCCCCCTTAAAGTTCTTGGGAATGTTCCACGCTTGGAAGCCAAATTCCACCGCAGGTCTCTGACTGCTCCTAAAAAAGCCCTTCAGTGCAAATGAAAAGATATTACAAATTGTAATTGTTCTTATGCTCTTAAATTTCTTGATAATGCTTGACTGTTGCTGCAGATATAGAAATGATCTATGCTGTGCTAGTTCTAAGTATAGGCTACTATGTACCTAGTTATAGGGAGTAAGTAAGTAAAAAAAACAAAAAAAAAAACAAAGCAAAGTAGCACTGCACAGTAAATAGGCAGGTAAATATGAGGTCAGCAATTGTGTATTATGTGTGATATCTCTGGGACATAATGATTCCTAGCTGCCCCCCTCTACCTGTAACCATGAACATGAGATTTGGCATTATTAACGCTTCTGTATCACAGCATAGCACTGGCCTTCTTAGAAACACACTGTTGAACAGTTGTCCTTGGTAATGGAGCCTGATACAACTTAATAGGGCAACACTGTCTACTAATACAACGTTAATGAAAACCTTGGTGCAGTGTTTTCTTTTTATGTCAGCTACTTAGACGTGATAAGAGCTGATTACCTGTGACGGAAAGGGACTGTTGGGACTGCTAAATCTTCTGCACGTTATTCTGTGCTAATGAGAAGTGACTGATGACCATGTGTAACAGAAGCTTATTGAAAGGCTGGTGTGCCAGATGAATGGTAGACAGCACATAAAAACTCATTAATAATGGATGAAGTTTATATTAGGGATGCACCAGTATGTTTTTTTGAATGCTTAGTATAAAAGCAAATACTACATTTCTGTTTTAGTAGCTTTATATTGTATGTAAGCTGTGTGGATGCTATACTTCATATCTCTCTGGTGGTTTTGTAATCAGTAATTCTGATCCCCTTTCATGCAGACTAGCTTACATGGAATTTTGGTTTTCTGCTGAAATGAGTCACTCGCCTGTAGAGAGAGATAATTAGATAACACTTTGTCTTGACCTTTTCTATGGACACCTGGCTCTGTCTGTAGTCTCACACCTCATATCACTTTGTTTTTCTAATTAAAAAGAGTATTCTTAACATAGCCGTGTGCTGAATGGGAGACAATATCTCATGGTCTAATAAGAAGAAGTCTTCTTATAATGACATAAATGATATTATGTAAATACATTGACAAAATAATCAATCAAAATGTAAAGTAACAAAGGCTATAAATTATTGTTAGTGTGGGGGGAAAAAAGGGCAGAAAGTGTGTGACATTGATCCCATACTAACAGCTGTTACTACAAGAGTTTGCCTTTAGGTTAAAATGTGATTAGCAAAGCAATATAATGATGAAGTAAACTTGTACTTTGCAAATTAAGCAGTTGTGCAAAGCATAGGCACAGTGTGTTCTCCTTGAATAAGTTGGGCAATAGAGCTTGGCCTGCAGCAGTTTTATCACCTGACCTTCGAATGATATTTGAGTTTCTCGCCTTTATGCTAGTATAACACCATGCCAAGAACTGCACACTCAGTTTAGCCTGGAACTTTGTGACTTCTCATATATTGCCTAGAAATATACTAAACATAGTAATAGTAGTGTATTTAAGTCAAATGTATTCATGTGTTGCTTTTTTTTGCCATTTAAAGTCTTGTTGCAGAGACAAAAATATTATCCTTATTGATATTATACAGTCAGGGACCACTGTTCACTTTTTTAATTTCCAGTCCAGAAACGTTAAGTACAAGTTATTCATTTTTCAGGAGATATTTCTGAGAAGATTAGGCATAAGATAATCCACTTGCATAAGAAAGGGGACAGTCAAAGAAAAATAACTGAAAAAACAGGAGTTTCCAAAACTGGAGTTAAAATGGGACTCTGAACAGGCCTGGTAGACCACCAAAACTGCCACCTTCAGGTTAACAGTACTTAAAGCTTTCATCTTTTAGAGACAGGGGAAAATCAAGCTCCACTCATGAGAAGCAGAAAATGTAACTAATGTCTAAGACTGAACTTTGGAAGTATAGAAAAATATCCCTGCAGATTTCTGCACAAAAACTGCAAGCAAGTCTCCTGAAAAAAAAGGAACAGCTGCTTTAAAAGAGTGTTTGCTGTAACAATATTAGAACAGGCCAGTAGTGGACGTTTAGTGCAGTGATTAGCCTGAACACCCACATTCCTGTCTTGTAATTACTCTGTGCATGGACTTCTCTAATGTTAACGAAGACGTGCGGAATATTTTGTTTGGATACACAGTATGAAGACTTCTTACTCGCACAGCTCTCCTACTTTGAGAGAATTTAGCACTTGTGGGCGAATGAAATGTGTCCACCTGTTGGCTGGACTACAGCACAGAGCCTACACGTGGTTCCGCTATCTGGCCAAAGGACAGAAACAGAACACACTAATTGATTCAAATAGGGCTGGACAATGTTAGGATATTTATAGTTATTGTGATAAATTACATCACAGTATAGCAGATATTGTCAGTATGTCTAGAATATGGACCAACTTCTAGTTTCATTACAAATGGAGCATAAAAACACCTGTTTTATCGGATTTAGTTCAGTGCAATATGTAAAATGTTGAAAAATAATCATTTGACATCATAGTTTTATGACAGTATTTTTAAAATGTATCACTGCAGGTTCTATTGTTGTTTTTTCCAACTTATTAAACCTCAGAAAACCTAAATATTGTGACATATTGTGCATCATGAACATTTCTTGAAGTATTGTGATATTTAATTTTTGCCATATCACCAAGCCCTACATTCAAACGTCCATGTGGACCCACAGATGATCAAGAGCTTGCACACTTTTCTACTGCTAAATATTGTTCTCTTTTCTCACCCCAGAGTGAAGACACAGAACAGCAGATTATCAGAGAAACGTTTCATCTGGTATCGAAGCGGGACGAGAACGTCTGTAATTTTCTCGAGGGTGGAATGTAAGAATGACTATATTTAGACAAGCATGTTTTTATTAATGATGTGCAGTAATTAGCACACCAAACAGCAGCCATTGTAAACTAGTATTCCTTCTGTGCACTCAGGTTGATAGATGGATCAGACAACAAGCTGATCTACAGACACTATGCCACGCTGTACTTTGTCTTCTGTGTAGACTCCTCAGAAAGTGAACTTGGCATTCTAGACTTAATCCAGGTACTTTTGTTTGTTTTCCTCTCAGAGAGAGAAGCAGAATGAATTTCAGCAGTGACTTTCCGATGCTACTTACTTCAGTATTGCTTAATATTTATGTTTGTAGGATTTCATTTTATATTGATATGAGAATAAATTGTCTTCTGTTTCTCCACAGGTGTTTGTGGAGACGCTGGACAAATGTTTTGAGAATGTCTGTGAGCTTGACCTAATTTTCCATGTAGACAAGGTAATTTTTAACAGAATTTCTTCTGGTGAAGTAGTACTCTACGAAGACACTTTGCACCCTAATTTTTTTTAGGGCATACAGCTAGACCTCACGTGCATAACCATGTTCTACAAATAGACCATGTTGAAAGTTCAGCCCTATATTGTTAAATGCCAGTCTGTACCAAGAATGAAATTATTAAATTTTAAAATCAAAGTTACAAAATCAATAAACACATTTATTCAACTACAGTGAAATATGATGATTGATTGTTTTGAAATTGTTTACATCGATTGGTCCATTGTCTTGTGTGGCTTGAAAAATTCATTGATTTTTCTGCTGTGTTTTTCTTGCTATTGTAACTCCTGAAATGAAAAACGAGAAACTGGATGAGTGGTGCTGACCAGATTCTCAGATTTTCTTTTATGATTCTCAATCTACGTTTTTTTAATGTTGCTCAATGATTTTAATGGTCAGTTTGTGTAGCCTGTACAGCATATGTTAGATAACAGGACAGTAACAGGATCAGTTACTACAGCAGCACAGTTAGCAGAGTGAACAACACCAGCTTCAGTCTGCACATTCTACACCAGGCTGTGGGACAATGGGGTTTACAGTCATATAATTGATTAGAATATAATACAGTATAATCATTATTTTTGTTTGTAGAAAGTAGAAATAAAGTGTCCAATCATACAGTTACATATAGATGTTCCTTTCTGTATAAAAGGATGGATGTTCATTTGCACTTTGTTGAACTGGGGGAAAAACCTGTTTCTGGTCTTGTCCAGTTGCGAACCGTGACTATTAGAACTAGGCCTTCAAATCAGGCCATAAATGTCAAATCTCTGTTTAAAAAAGCCAAAAAACGGGAACCACCTCTATGAAAACGCTAATTTCTTGTAGCACCTTTATAATAATGTTTTTTTTTTGTTTTGTTTTTTGTTTTTGATGTTCTGGATTCAAAGTGGATGGTTGAAGCTTGTAAAAGAAAGTCCATGTTTTATTTTAAGTTTGTAAGTTATATTTTCATGTGTAATTTACAATTTTCACAGTGATTCTTTCAGGGTCCTGACATAGAGCTGCTGCTCTTTTCCTTCTGAAACACATTGGTTCAGGATAGCACTTGTACTTAAAGTGACATTGCCAGGACTTTGAGTGGCCTGGAGTGACATTCTTTTTCTCACAAAATTGGTCTCACCCACTGTAAATCAGGAGTTTAAATACAACAAGCTTGACGATTATGTTAAACAAAAATAAACATTTATTTCACAAATTGAGTCTCTCTCTGAAGGCCTTGAAGGTTCCCCACCACTCTTTAGCCTCTAAATCTCTACCTTACCAAAAGGTTTAGATAAGTTAGATATGAAGATGTGTTCCAACTACTTTTTTTTTGTCTTGTTTTTTTTTAGCATGTCCTTGGCCATATTAAGCATGATACAGCACATCATTTAAAGACAATATTTTTGTTTTCCCTCGCACCACTCCCCCCTATCAAATAGCTAACGCTCAGCTACTTTAGAGATCCTCACTGATATGTTTCACATGGAAACCAGGAACGGGTCACAGTATGGAGGGAAATGTGTTACCATTTCAGATTCATGTTGACTTTTACAAAGTGCTGATTATTATTATTATTATTATTATTATTATTATTATTAATTTTGACTTAATCTTTTCCAGGTCCATAATATTCTGGCTGAGATGGTGATGGGCGGTATGGTCTTGGAGACCAATATGAACGAGATCATAACACAAGTAGATGCCCAAAACAAAATGGAGAAGTCTGAGGTAAGAATGTTGCTGCAGTGTCACTGTGCTTTAGGTATGTGCAGGCATGTCTGTGTGTGGACTGCATGTCCAAGAATGCCCTTTCTGTGATGCCTTTTGCTCTCAGTGTCTGTGGCTCTATGGCCCACTGCTATTGCTATGCTGCACACTGATAGCTCCTCTCAGCTTAGATGCAGCCCCTGCTCTAAGACAGACTCATTCATAGTATCCATGGAGAGAACAGATTTCTGATTCTACATAAATACCCACATGATTCCCACTGCTTCCTTCACCAACAATCAGACTGTTTCAACTAGATGGAAAAGAAATACACTATCACCACTATGCTCATTTGAATTAGATTTCCTGTTAGTCTCCACGGTGAGAATATTTAGGAAAGCTGTGTTTTTCAGGGGTTGAGGGGATGTTGTTGTGAATAAAGATGAGAAGATTTGATGGTTAAAGTCAAAGATGTTGATCGGTTGCTAGAATGATTCAGCTTTTATTCAAAAGCCCTTCCGATAGACAAACTCTTCAAAGTGGAGACAAAACTTTGCTCTCTGCTGTTGCAGGTTCCATTAAGTTGCCTAATTTATTTACAGGTCACACTGACTGTAAATACAGAAAAATTTCTCTCATTTAGGTGGTTTCACCATATTAGCGCACTTTTCTTTCTTAAGATATTTTGTTATTTGGTGAGCCTGTTAGATATGCTATAACATGTCAAGCATATTCTATGTTGATGTGATGTTTAATCTTAATTTTTTATTTATTGAGACAGTGGTTTATCAACATTTATAATTATGCCTTCACATCTGAGCCTCACTTATTACTGGTAAAATAAAGGCCAAAGCAACATAATTATGGTCTGTTTCTTGTTAATTCTCAGACAGAACCTAGACTTAGTGGTTTGATGGCTTTGTTTAGCATTATGACTAACACTGAATGAACTGTGTTCTGGTTTGGTTATTGCATGAGTATGAAGATGCATAATAGCCTAATCAGTGGTGTGGTTTTATAAAATTATCTGGACAACTGAGTATTTGGCAACTGAATCATTCTTAGCATCTTTGACTGTAATAAACATCAAATCTACTTGCCCCTTCTCTCTTTTGACCACCTACCCTAGACCGCTACTGCTGAAATCTGTATTGTAAAAACTGTTATGTAGACTTTAAATAGTATGCAGTTTTTATGCAGCAATGCAGCTTTTGGTATATGTCCAGCTTTTGGTATATTGGAAAAATGCTTTTTCAAAACAAAGGCACATGTCCAAAGTTGTGAAAGATAATACACAACAGAGTAATGGCTAAAATATATTTTTTTTGCCTAATTTTGAACTTGACTGTTCACTTTGTCTGCGGTCTAAGTTGGGTTCTGTCACTCCTTCAGTGCTACAAACTGTGATTTCTTAACTGCTTTAACTACCATTCCTCATTCCTCTTTCCTGACTTTCTCTAGTTCTTTCCATTTTCTTTTTGCAGACGTTTATCTTTCAGTCCCCCAGGCAGGACAGGTAGACCCAGGTACTGCTCTGAATTCCGAACCAAGAAATTTTACACAAGTCATCCTAAGAACAAACATTAGATTTTTTAACAGGCATAAACTGTGCATTTTTTATTGACCTGGGGCTCCATTTTACTAGACTGACTGATGATAATGGTAAGATATTTTGATTTTGCTTTAAGGGATGACTATAATCATAGTTTCAAGTTCAGACAAAGGTTCAGCACTTTATATAATGTGAATGAGGTTATCCACATGATTATTAGGCATGCGCCGTTATGGGAATTTTCATGTACAGATCTGCTAATGCCAACACATAAACATTCGTAAAATGTAGACATTGGAAATAGATCCACCACAGAGAAATATAATGTTACAGCATTCCAGAGAAATATAACACTATTTATAGAGGGTTATAAATTAGAGGTGGGTGATATAGTAAAAAGATATCAAGATATTTCAAGACACTGTGAAAGTACTCTATATGCATCATGATGTTCAGTTTTTCTGAGATTGAATAAGTTGGAACAGGCAAAATAGAAACCCAAAATAAACCCTTAACTACATTGATTTTATTCAGTGTTTCACAAACTGCACTGCATTAAATACAATTAATCAAGCCTAATTATACTAACTTCGTAATGAAACCTGTAATTAGTCATTGTTATTTAAATACTCTGCATGCATATGCATCATCACATATATCAGCCAAATCCAAACTGATGCGTTATATATAATGTACAAATGTATGTGTGTGTGTGTGTGTGTGTGTGTGTGTGTGTGTGTGTGTATTAGGGGTGGGAATCTCTAGGCACCTCACGATTCAATTCGATTACGATTCAGAGGGCTGCGATGCGATTATAAAACGATTATCGATGCATCTCAATGCATCTTTTTTTTTTTCTATATAGCATTTATATTTCTCTCTGTTTCGAGTTCAAGTTTCAGGTTTATTTGTCATTTGCACAACCTGTCAGGACATTTATGCATTGAAATGCTTGTGGTGAGACTCTAATTACTCTACAGAGAGTAAATAAGTAAAAATAAAAATACAAGAAAAAAGCAACTGAAATATATTAAATATACACAAAATATACACAGAATATACACAGAATATACATTTTAAAGTGTCTAAGTGACTCAGTGTTGTTATTTAAAGTGACTTGGTACTTTTAAAGCAAAGTATTTGTAATGATCCATAATGAATCTACTTCCAATATCTTTTTTAATAAAACAATTGGAAGTGATGTGGCAAGTGAATTAGAAGGCTCTCATTCAGTGCTCTTGTTTGGAGCACGAGAAGCTGCTGCTACTCATCTGCAATAAAATGCGCAGTTACGATGAAATAAGATCCAGTGCTAATGGATCTCCACGCAGCACATGTTACAGCTATTCTACCTGTTTTCTTTAGTGATTTTATAACTTAGGTTTTGGTCTTGTCATAGAGAGTGGGGGGATCGCTGTGTCAGTAAAGTATCTTTGAGACGGGACGTGTGAAACATAGAGCGAAAGCCCTGTTTTGCAACGACTGAGAATTGGCGTGCAGACTGCAGGTCACATAGCAGCGATGTGTTATTCGCATTTATAAGCACCACAGTTGGTTTCCTGGTACGTTAAATCCGCAACGAGAGACTGTCACACACTAAAAAGTGGCAAAGCTGAAGTCGCTTCTTTTTCGAATTCTCCCGTTCCACCTTAAATGGTGCCGCATTTACATTCGGCGCCTCAGTTAGAATTTAAGGTGGAATGGGTAAATTCGAACAAGAAGCTGGAGAATGAGAAGCGACTTCAGCCTCCTAAAACAGTCGAACATTGAGAGACATTTTACAAGAAACTGATCTACTTCTGAGGAAAAGTTTTCTGGCAGAGATGGGAGGAAAGCGGCTATAGCTGAGCTAAAGCTTAAAGCAGAGTAGAGTAAGTCCGCGTTTTCGTTTATATTGTTTAGCCTATACTAGGACATTATCACATACTGAGACATACTAGACATTAAATGTTGTGGCTGCCAAGGTGGTTTGATTTTTGTTGAGAGGACAAAATGGCTCTTCATATAATCATTTGGGTTGTGACTCCTGATCTAACCTGGCTTTAATGCAGAGGGAGCCGGTCGGATTTCTCGCTCATCCACTTGTGTTTTTGTTATGTGCTGCCACAGACTGTCCGGGCGCTGCACTTACCCACTTTCAAGTTCCGCCTTTTACGTTCCGTCAACATTACGTTATAAATTAAATATTTAGAAAATTGATTTTTGACATTTGTGAATCGATTCAGAATCGTTCACGTCCGCATCGCGATGCATCTAAGAATCGATTTTTTTCCCGCACCCCTAATATATATATATATATATACACACACACACACACACAAGCAGTTATCTGCTGGTACTGATACCAGTTCCAATAAGATTGCGCATCGCTAATAATTACTATAACAAATTGCTACATAGCTACTAATAGCTGCATAACAACATTGTAGGTATTGTTTATTACATTTAAACCTAAACATTTTTTCTGCATCATTAATGAAAGATTTAGATGTATGTTATGCTGATGCTAGTAGTGATTTTGTTAAATAATGTCTGTTCAGTTATCACTGTAGTTCTAGTTGTTTTTTCAATGTGTAATTTGTAAATTTCTTTCCCACATTGTGTTCTAGGATGTGGGTTTCTTCCAAATTTCTATGACTGAAGAACTGAACATTGTGAAATGGTGCCCAAAGACTAGATTGTTTAAAGTGATAGTTACACATTCATTTTTAAATATTGTTTGTTCTTAGGATAACATGGTAGAATGCAGCAGGTTTGTCTTCACTTTTATGTGGAACTTCCTAGCTATTACCTGTAATTAGATATTACCATAGCTTAGTCCAGAGTAGATCAAAAACGTTTTAGACACAAAAAGCCTACAGTTCTTAATAGATTTCTCATAGTCGGTAAGTACCATACACATCTTTTTCTAGTATTTGAACTCCTTTCCCAGACGATCATTGGCAGTGCTCATGAAGTTATCAATTTGTAATGACAACTGGTAAAGACTGACTGGCTCATTCATTAAAACATTCAGATTCATCTGATGTTCTTTATCACATGGTTGTAATGGTAAGAGTACACAATACATGTCAGTGCCAGCTGCACTTATACTCTTCATAAGCCTAAGCGGAAGATAAAATATGAATATTACATATTGTAGTCAGTCAGTTCTTACCTGTCTATGTTGTGTCTGTATGTCCGTTAGTAGTTGTAGTTCCATTTCAATGAAAGTTTAGTTTTGTCTTTGTGCATTTGTTTGGATGGTTTTTCAAGATTTATAGGAACTATAAAAGTAACCCAGGCTCAGATTTCAACATAAATATTTGGGATTTTTTGGAACCAAAAAGGTTTTGGCCAGAATGTGTTCTTACAAGCTTTGCTTACTAAAATAACACCAGCGAGACATTTCACTAACCTTTTAACATGACAGACCTTTTCAGCCAACTCTGTCAGCGATTGTTGAAGCATGAAGGAACATAGTGCAGACAGTTATTCATCATGTTCTAGTGTTATTGTAAAAGTTTTTTTTTAAGCATATGGTGACCCCTGGAAAAACCAGGAGCTCCTGATGAGTGCTGGAGCAGCCACAGTGTTGTTCTTCTGTCTGCCCGCGTGCTCCAGCAGCGTACATTCTGTGCTCTGCTTGTGCCTTTTGTCTGTATTTTATGGCCTAAAAATATCCTATTTTGCAAGTACTGCTGCTCGACCCCGCTGTGAGGATTAGGAATGTAATCCGGCAGTATTTGAACAGATTCATACTTAGGCCTGCCTCATACGGGAATGATTCATCAGCACTCAGCGTTCTTTTGAGTGATGTCGCAGTTTTACACAATAGTAGTTTACCCTTTAGAAAACTATTGTCTGTTATGGGTATAGGTGCATTGAACTTAAAGAGATAAATGTGCTGCAAGCAGATGCCTATTGAAACTGCTTAGCTTGTTAATGTTATTGAACACCTGGCCAAGTACATTATGTAATCTACTCAATTTTGGATTATACAGATGGATTCTGCGGCAGAGGAAGAATCTGTAGCCACTAAGGGTGTAATGAGGCTAGGACCCGACTTATCTGAATATTTTGTACCATTTTTGAAAGACTAAAAATGTGTTATTGTTAGCCAATATAATTTTCTATTTATATTTTAGATTTAATTTTATACTCCAGTGCTTTTCGTTAAACTGACTGCTTTACAGACTGATATGATTATCAGTTCTCAATTATCACACTGCTTAAACTCAATCGGTATAAAGTCACAGTGTTCAAAGAAATTGATATTTTGTGGGTGGAACTAACCAGAATCCTTCATAGCCTGAGTCTTTATACATAAAAGGAATATCAGTGCTGTATTATAATTTAATACCACCTTTACTAGACAAATAAAAATGTGCTTTCCATTATACGTCAGCTTTTTTGTTCCCCAAAAACTCCTTATTTTCAAAATTGTTACAAATAAATATACAGCATTTTGAAATTAAACTCTTCATTTAAACAATGACCCTGGCTCAGTAGTACAACCACCTTTTTGTCCTAGTGTCAGGAGATGGTAAGTTCGATTCCTAATGATGCTGCAGCTAAAAAAAACACTAATTATCGGCATGTTATTAGCAAGCTTATCTGATACCGCAGGTCATTAGCATAAAGCGGTATCAACGGCCTAAATGTGAGAGACTTTATTAAATTTTCTCTATTTTTTCTATGTTGAAAATGTCTTCATTCAACAGAGCACTGATTTATACACTAAAAAAGATTGCAAGGTAGCATGTCCTTGTGGAAAATAATGATTTTATAAAACAGCGCAACTGAGATACAAACAGTACAAAAATGGATTGGATGCACCCACATGCCTCCTTCTAATCACTGACGGTGGTTTCCATGAAAATTAGCTAATAAGAGACTGAGGCATTTTTTTTACGCTGTACTAAAATCCTTACACCCTTAGTAGCCAATTACCATACTGAGAAATTACATTTGTATGCAAAAGTTTGGCCACACCTGGTCAAATTACATGTTTTGTTGATTTTGTAATTGAAAAAACGTTAACACATCCTTTACAGAGAACACACTTCTGAACATTTTAATGCACAATTACTGTTTTTTTGTTGAATGCAAAATATTGGGGGAAAAAAAAACACAAAATGTGTCCTGTGCAAAAGTTATGGCACATTTTTATATTTTAGTCTTTTTTTCCCCCCAATATGTTAAACTAAAATTTGCAGAAAATCAGCATATACAAGTTTGTTCTCTGTATAAGTTGTGTTACTTTATGTTCACTATTAACAAAACATCATTTGACTTGGGTGTGTTCAAACCTTTGCATGCAACTGTATATCGTTAAATTAATTAATTTTGACAAAGGTTACAATCTGCTAACTCACCATTAGAAAGTACTGTTGAGAAGTTTTCTTGTCTTAGGTTATGCTGAGATTTTTGAAGCAGTCTTGGAGATTAGCAAGGCACCAGCTCGTTCACCTAATCAAAACCCAGATGTCAGGTTTTCTCTTAATAGCTCTCAGCTTTTCATTTCCTCCTCATCAATTTCCATTTCTCAGCTTTGCCCAACTTCTGTCCTTGCATACCAGTCCCTAAGGCTTTGGTCAATTTATTTTAGAAAAGTTCTCCCTTTAGGCCATCCTTTCATTTTGACGAAGGCTCAAATCCTTTGATAATTTCATTTAATTTCCATAGTTGAGGCTTACTCTGCCTTACTCTCATGATTGAGAATATTCTAAACGACCTGAGTGATGCATGTGCATTTTGAGCTATGAACAAGAATGCCAACGTTGCACACATCTGTAATGTGCTTCGCATTTTGTGTGACGTCGAATGGGATCTGTGCAGTGTGATGGACTGAGTGTCTGTGTTGCCTGTCCTTATATGAATAACATCTTAAATTCAGGTTTGAATCATGTTATTAAGTGTGTGCATGTGTTTGTTTGCGCAGGCTGGCATTGCAGGGGCTCCTGCACGTGCTGTATCAGCAGTAAAGAACATGAACCTTCCAGAAATGCCCAAGAACATCAACATTGGAGACATCAGCATAAAAGTGCCAAACTTGCCCTCCTTTAAATAGCAGATAAAAATGCCTTGTGCTGGGATGGACAGATGCGTATGTTGAAATGTGTTTACCAAACTCCAAGTGAAATATCTTGTTACTTCAGAGGCTATGAAGGTACCATGTGATATGTTTTTTTTCTTTTGTGTTGCTCCTGGTTTTGGAATGTCTCTTATGTGTCTTTTTTTTACTCTATGGAAATGAAGTATTTATTACATTCCTTTGCCCTCTCTAAAGGTGTGCCCTTACAATTTGGCTGCTACAGTATTTGAAGAATCATACCTTTGTAGTGCTTTGTACATCGGACTTAAAAGTACACTTAAGAATAGAAATATCTAAACGACTCTGTATATGCTTAAATTATATTATTGGTATTATACTGTATGTAATCAGAATATTTTATATATAATTTATCTTCTTTTCATACTCAAATAATGCTTTTATTTTAATCGGTGCATGTGAGGTTTTTCTTCTTTTTTCTTTTTTTGCAACAAAATAAAGTATTGCAGCATTTTATCTTGTTTCCTTTTTTAAACTCCTTGTTTTCCATATTGAGTTATAAACAAGACAATAATGGTATGAAAAGATGTTTAAAAATCTATTTGCTCTGATGAAGTAGAAATTCAAAAAAGCTAAAAATGATGGAAAAATGTTTTAAATATTTTGCTGTAATTAAATACATTGAATACATGGAGTGACTAGTACTTTCATATATGCAGTAGCCAAAAAAATCCCAAATCCCAGATAATGTCCAGTCATTTTAATCCGCCACAGGTAGACAGTAAGTTCTAGAGACATCTCAAGGATCATCATTTAAACCAGAAGCAAATACCTTCAGTTTGGAGGGGCAGGGTCTGAACGTCGACCCTGAATATTTCATAAAAATTTTAATTTTTTATTTTCATTCGGTTTTAAATCCCAAAGATGTGTTTTTGCTGTGGCATTATGTGGATTAACATATTTATTTGGTAATTTAAAAATAACGCATTTTCATAACGCTATTTAATAACGCAAAATTTTGAAGCCACAGGGAAGGGATTGGAGTTATTTGAATCTTGGTTTGTGGTGCTAACTAATTGTTAAAAGATGATTTCAAAGAGCTTACTCTATGTCCTCCATGTACATGCTGTGCAAAAATCAGAGAACGTCTCTTCATTCATTTAATTTCCTGACGAAACGGAATAAGGAGAAGGAAGGGGAAGGTCAAAGGAAAATATGTGAGAAAACAGGAGCTTCTAAAACCGGAGTTCAAAAAATTATTAAGAGATATACAGAAAATAGGACTCTTGACAACCTTGTAGACCACCAGACTGTCACCATCAGATTAACAGCACTTAGTTTTAATCTTTTCATCTCATTTTAGATATAAAAAATTCATGGGTTTCTGTCTATCCTTCCACTGTAAGAAGATGAGTCTGAAAGGATGTGCAGTTGTCAAGAAGCTGTTAGTGGGAAAAGAAAATAGACAAAAAAGAAGAAAATTTGCAAATCAATCAAAGAAGTTGCTGATGTTCCCAGAACAATGGACTGACCACCCCAGAGTCCAGACCTCAACATCACTGAATGTGTTTGGGTTTACTCGGATCATGAAAAAAACAGAAAATACAACCAACTTCCAAGACTGAACTGTAGAAAAATATCCCTGAAAAACTGAAAGCAAGTCTCCCGAAAAGAATTGAAATTGTAATAAAGGCAAAAGGTGAACACATTAAATTCTGAAAAATATGAAATTGTATTTAGTTGTTGAGGCTCCTGTGTAATTTTCTGTTAAATATGTTTTCTGCTTTAATCCTGATACTTACAAATGATTTGTCTTTATAGCTCTATTGGCAAATAAACGTGTATTGTTTCAGTAGACAGCACATTAAGGAAGCAGTTGCCTGAAAATGATCAGATGATACCAAATCGTAAGAACACAGTAGCTGTTAGGGTGTCTTGGTGCAGTGTTTGTGAATGAGAGTTATGTGGCCACCAGATGGAGACATTATCCCGAACTTATTACCTGAAAACATCACACATTAAAAAACTCACATTTTGTTTTTTCATTTTTTAACCTCAGTAGCCTATTTCTCACAGTGTTGTGGGTGAAGTCCTTGATAACGTACCTTAGTGCATTGAGTCAGATGAATCTGAGCAGGGAAAACTCTTAAATGTGCTGCACTGAAGTCCCAAAAGAGTGGAAGTAATATGTGTTACACTGCAATCCTCCCTAAACAACCAGGCAAACATACAGAAACAAAGGTGAAAAACATCTAAATAACTTCACTAACAGAATAAGTAGGTTGATTGTGAAAAATAAATTATTTATCAATATCTATCAAAATACAAACACAATGTTAGAAAGCAGTTCTTGATGCAACTTAACTGGGTAAAACTGATGAAGAACCCTGCAAGATACTTAAAAAATGCATAATTCAATTGTCGAGAAGTAAACAAAGTCATTCAGAGTGCTGATATGAAAATGAAATACATGTAAAACATATTTATCAAATACCTTTGAAAATGTATGAAAAAGGGTTTCTTGCTTAATGTACTTCAGTGTTTGGAATACATTTTTGAATGAAATGTATGAAATGTATTTCAAATGTATCTCACATACAAGAAAATACATGACCATGTATTTCTTTGTAAATTCAGTGAAATCCCAAATACAAATTTCTTTGTAAAATAAATACACATACTAATAGACTAATTAGTATGACAAACCAGTCCACGGCCATTAGACGTCATTCATTAGTGCAGGCAAAGAGTTTCTCTCCTGTATCCAGCACCGACGTCGTGCGACACGTGACTGCTGAACAGGAAGTGCTTCCACTAGCAAAATAATGGTATTCAGACAGAGACTGACTTTATAATTAAGATTATCTAAATCTCCACCATGGCTGCAATCGTTAAAGAGACACAGAGGTACGTGGGGTCTGGGAATAAACACCGCTGTGTCATTTTTACTGACCGGTTTTACGGTCTTTGTCGTCTCTGTGCTGAACTGTTAGCTGTGTTGTTGGCTAAAGGGAGTCTGCTATCGCCTGATTTGAATTTCATCCAGAGTAAAGAAAACGCACATTACCTGACAGAAGTGATAGTCTAGTCGAGCTATAAATGCAAACAAGAGTGAAAAATGTTTCTTTGTTTCTTCGTTTTATTTTTGTTTAGCGTAACGTTAGTCAAAGCGTCTAATTTGTAATGTAAGATACTATGAAAAGTGGAATTCGGTCATAATTTTTACTTTCCAATTAAAAAAAAATATAGCCTTGAAAAGTCTATCAGCCATCTAGATCAAATGCTGAGAGAATTTGCACTGGCTCACTGCCTTGTTTATCTCCGCAGCATCAAAGAGGCAGTAACTCACATCAATCAGATTGACGCCAATAAGTTTGGCAGGCTGCTCTCTCGCATCCTTCAGAAACTTCATCTTAAGGTAGGAACAGTCAGCTGTGCATCATCTTAAAATCGTAATAGACAAACCAACTTCTTTTAATTTCTTGCTATTCGTTGTGCTACCGTGCTGCAGAGCTGTCATCTTTGTAAAACTGCTGCATTTCAGCTGAGACTGAAGTACAGAATATGAAAGCTTCTGTCTAAAAGATGTTTGTGCTCTTACTGCACTCAGGGTGAGCGCTCCTTCAGTGAAGACGAGGAGCAGAAGTTACAAACAGCTCTGGCTTTGGAGAAGCAAGCTCTTCACCTGGTCCTGGAGACCACATCATTCCTATTAGAACAGGTTGGTGTTTGACTAGATCATCTGCAATGTTTATTCCTCTCTGCCTTATTTTGATTTACATTTGGGCTTTTCAGCAAAATAAGGAGTTGCCTAATTTTGGTGCACTATATGTCCAAAGGCTTGTAGGCACCTGCTCTGCTCACCTGGTGTTTCTTCTGAATAGACATTGCTGTGAGGATTTGATTGTATTCAGCCATGAGAGCATTAGTGAGGTCAGGTACTGATGTTGGATGATCAGTTCTGGATCATATACGTCACTTCAGTTCATCCCAGAGGTATTGGATGGAGCTCTATCACTCCAGAAAATGCAGTCTCCACAGCCCAATGCTGGGGGGCTTTATACCCCTCTGTTTGGCACTTTGCATTGAGCATGGTGGCCTTAGACTCATGGGGAAATGCTCCAGAGCGTCCCATTCTATTGGCAGTACATATGTATGGAGATTATACAAGCTATGTGTGTCAGCACATTAAAGTAAATTAAACACACATTAAAGCACATTGAACATTAAAGTAGGTGAATTCACTAATTTGAAGGGCTGTTTGGATACCTTTGGACTTGTAGTGTATTTCATATTGTGATATGGTTTCCTGACATTTATAGGTCTAATTACGATACAAGTAACCAACAGCTGAAAGGTTGTCTGATGTACTCTTGTTTTTTGCAGGCTGTGTATCACAATATTAAACCAGCATCCTTCAAGCAGCAACTTGAAAACATACATATTGCTCCAGATAAGGCAGAGGCTTTTTGTCAAGCTTGGGCCACAGCTGGCCCAGATGTTGTGGAGAAGATTAGACAAAGAATATTTGCCCCTAAAAAGGTAAGCTCAGATTAGGGTACTTGAGTTTATGTGATGCTACTTTATCTTAAATGTTTTCGTATGTTCAGCACTGATATATATATTATAGGATCAGCAGTCATCACAGCAGTCATCACGTTTTGTCACCATTATGTTTACTCTATAGGTTATATTGATTTTGTTTTAGCACGTTGCCCCAGTTTAATGTGATGGTTGTAATTAGGGCTGGGTATTGCTGCATTTTTTCTATATCCATACCAACCCTGATACCTTAATTTTGGTGCCGATTCCCAAATTCTACTTTTTCAGCGCCTTCTTTTTTCTTATGAAGTGAAAGTGGGTGTGGAAGTTAAAAAATAGGTATTAGAATGAGATGCTCAAAGTGGGTGTATTTACAGACAGAACTAGAATGTTGACTAAACACAAATCGAAATTGAAAGTCAGCATTGAATGACAGAATATAGCCATACTCTGTAGTATTGAAATGAACTTGCCGGTATCATAGGGTTGTTTTGATACCCAGCCCTAGTGGTGATGTAAACATAAAATTGAATAAAACAATTGTAGTCTATGTTATAGTTACCAAGAATTTGTGCATGAAATGAGAAAAAAGCCTGCAGTTTACTTTTTACTACTATGAAAATCTTACTAGTGTGTGTCTAGTGCATTTTTAACTTATTTATGTTCAGATGAAAGTCTTAAATTTATTTCAAATCCTAAATAATCTTCTACTGTATAATGTATCCTGGGTCATAGGATGCACACATGCTGGTTTGCTCTTAGAACAAGGGACCTTTTAAAATCTAAAATGTGATCAGCTCCATGTAATATATTTAAATTTACATTTAAGCATCTTTAGATACAAGGTTTTCAGCAGCTTTTGTAACCAGCAAAAATCTAGATTAGTTACACCCACAATTCTTGCAATATTTAGCATCATGTCTTTTATATTTTGTGCTGTCAGATAATGGTCTTTTAAAACTGATGCATTGATG